ACGAAGGACTGAAGGAGGATGTTAAAGACGAGATTTCTAAATTGGACCGACCTGACGACTTTGCTAAATACGTTACCATGGCTGTACGCATTGACAATCGACTGTTTGAACGATGATAGGAACGTAACTATAAAAACTCTGGAAACTATTAGAAACCTCGAATTTAACTAAACTTAGGAAAGAAGTACTAGTATGGTAGTAACTTCTATGGCAATAACCAACCTTGATACTAACGGGGTTACCACAGCACTGCGACAGGTACCTACGCGGGACTTATAGAGCTTGATGCAACTCAACGAAGGCCTCGTAACCAGGAATGCTATAACTGTGGATGAAAAGGATACTTTGCTAGAGAGTATCACAAACCCAAGAAGTAATGGAAACCTGTTCCTGAAGGATGAAGGTAGGTCAATATAACCTAACGAGAAGAGCTGCCTAAATAATGGAGCTGCTTGCTTAACGAGGAATGCCTGTTATACCCGGAAGGCAGGATGGATTATATATGTTAACCTAATCTCTATATGGAATGTCTAATCCACCCTGATAAGTAGGAACCTGAAAATCCAGACGACCTACTACCTAATTCTAAGTAAGTAGCGGATGCTAATAAACAATACGGAACCCTTAATTAGACCTTCTGTTTTGATGATCAGTGTATACTATACCTTTTGGAGAAAGAAGCCTCTGGATGGTTTCCCACGAAGCCTTAGCAGGAACGATAGTTAGTAATGGGAAGACGAGGATTACTATACGAAATAGTAATGAAGGATAGTGACTTGGATTATTCAAGTACCGAGTATGCTAGAATAAAAGACTCCTAGAAGGATGCCTAGAAGAAAGGTAGTCTGCTATAGACTGACCAACTAACAAGGTAAAACAAAGACCCTATCGAAAGCCCTAACGAAAACCCTGAAAAATACCTAGGACGTAGCATTTCCATCGCCCTAGATACCAGTACTACCAGGATTACTGTTGTAGGGATCTAGTTAACCCAAGCTATTTGAGAACTTAGCTAACTACTAGAATAATATAGGATAGGTGACGAACTATACCTATAGCTAGGATACCCGGAATATTAGGAAATCTCTTGGGCCTCCTGTGTCTAGAACCTCTGCTATACTTACTTTAGGGAAAAAGCCAAGTTTGACTTGTTTCCCCGATGCTTTGGTGAAGGACTTATTACTAGGGTGTATGAAGAAGACGAGCTCTACTACTAGAAACCTAGCGAGTACTATAAGGAGAAGGCCTACGCCCTTCTTATCCTGAACCCCTAACTACCCTTAGAATACCTACGAGGTAGGTGATGACCTTAAGACTGTGGATTACCGGGATGCCCTATTTACAAGAAATATAAGCTGATGAGCTGGTATGATAACTAAATAAAGAGATAACATGTTATAGAAACCTAGACTAGAAACTAGAAGGAATTGGGAAAAGATAATGATTGCCTGTAAGGGGATAATAGCTGATCAAGGATCCCAGGTCCCTGTGTATAATATGAACAAGTAACTACGTACATATTCTACTAAAGGTAGAAATTAACGGGGAGATATATAGTGTACTGTTAGATAGTGGTGCTTAGGGTAACTTTATATTACTAGATATTATTAATAGAGATAGGATCTCTTGGTATAAGAAGGAAGACCCCTATAGACTTAGTACTGTGGAAGGTATAGAAGTAAGATATGGAGACGGAGTAATCAATATAGAGACTAATTATCTACTAGTCTTGATCTAAGGATACGCTACTTCTATAACTCTAGATATCATGGATATGGTATATTACGAACTAATTTTAGGACTTCTATGGCTAAGGGCTATGAATCCTTGAATTGATTGGACTACTGGCCAGATCTACTAGGATAATGCTGTTCCCTAGGGGAAGGTTGCAATTAACGGTAAGGGATAGAGTTTAGTTACTAAGGATAGTAAAAAGACGTGCTTAAACGAACCTATAAATACCTCTAGAAGTAGTCGAAAGGAGACTTAGCTTTAGGAAAATAGAGAAGGATTAGACTAATCTCGGACCTTAAAAGAAGGTAGAAGCTGATTAGAACTATGGAAAAGTCGTGGTCTGCTGTGGGCTGACTATTTAACTATACATTGACAGGAAACATAACGGTATCTCCTCTACCTATAGTATAGGGAAGAGAAGGCCCTAGCAAGACTCGAAAGAGTACTACGTGAATACTATGAATTTAGAAAAGTGTTTTAAGAAGAACTTGATACGGGAATCCCTGAATATAATTAATGGGACCACGAGATACCTCTATAGGAAGGAAAGATACCTAGCTTCTTGAAAATCTATGGACTTGATGAAGAAAAACTCAAGGTACTCTGGGAATACTTAGATGAGAACCTTTAGAAGAGATATATATAACCTTCGAGATTACTAGTAGGATACCCTATCCTATTTATACTTAAGAAGAACGGTAAGCTATGACTTTGTGTGGACTACTGATAATTAAATGACATTACTATTAAAAACTAGTACCTACTACTACTTATTAAGGAACTATGAGACTAACTTGAAGGAGTAAAATAGTTTATAACCCTAGACCTTAAAGGAGCCTATAATCTAATCTAGATAAAGGAAGGAGAAGAATAGAAAACTGTATTTCGAACATGCTATAGATACTATAAATATATAGTTATGCTCTTTGGATTGACTAATATACTAGTGTCCTTCTAGGAAATGATTAACCAAGTCCTGCGTGAGTACCTTGATATTTTCATTATTGTATACCTTGATGATATCCTCATCTTCTTAATAACCCTTGAAAAGTATAAGGAGTATATTAAGTAAGTACTCTAGAAACTCTAAAATGTAAACCTCCTAGTAGAGCTAGAGAAAAGCTACTTTCACGTATAAAAAGTCGATTACCTTAGATATACTATCGAACTAGGATATATCAGGATGTAGAAAGACAAGGTTAAAGTAATTAAAGAATGGCTGATACTAAATAATATTAGGGACGTTAGAGTATTCCTAGGCTATACTAATTTCTACTAGTAGTTTATCAGGAACTATAGTGGTATTTGTAAGCCTCTTATAGATCTTACTAAGAAGGAACAAACATTTGAATAAATAAAAGGAACTTAGTAAGTATTTGATGAAATTAAAGATAAGGTTACTAAGGACCTAGTACTTGAAGAAGTAGATCCTACTAAAGAATTTAAAATCCACATAGACGCCTTAGATAATATAGTAGGTAGAGAACTTACTTAGAAAGATGAGTAAGGATAAGTACGTATCATCACAAACTTTAGCAAGAAATTCAATAGACTAGAAATACGCTACGCTATACCTGATAAGGAATTCATAATAATAGTATATATATTCCAGGAATAGTAATAGTACCTTATCAGAGCTAAGAGATAAATCAAGCTCTACATAGATTACAAGAACCTGATAACCTTTACTATGACTAAATAACTTAATAAAAGACAGGTTAGATACATGGAATTCCTCTCATAGTTTAACATCAAGGTTATATATATAGATAGAATCAAGAACGCTCGCGCTGATGCTCTTAGCAGGTAACCTGACTACTAGAGTAAGGAATCTCCTACTGAGTAGACGATCTTTAGAACTTAAGAAGATGGGAGCCTTGTACTTAACCAAGAACTCGACACTATGCTTAGAGTTAATACTATACCTAAGGAGATACCTATAGATCCTAAGGAACAGGATAACTTGATTAAAGAGATACACGAAGCCCTAGTATATGGATACCAAGGTGTGTTAGTAATAGTTAAAAGAATCTAACAGACCTACTGAATTCTAAACCTTAGGTAAAGAATAGAAGAAATCATTAAGTAATGCGACTCTTGTAATAAAAATAAAGCTTCCAGGTATAAACTATATAGATTCTTGAAGCCTCTACTAGTACCTATAACTATGTAGTTATCCATTAGTCTAGACTTCATCATTAAGCTACCTCTCTTATAAGAACCCTTAACTAAAGTACTTTTTAATAGTATCTTAGTAGTAGTTTATAGACTGAGCAAGTATGTATACTTTATACTATACAAGGAAGCTAGCACAGCGGAAGAACTTGTATACACGTTCCTACGAATCATCATAAGTAACTACGGGATGCTACTCGAGATTGTGTTAGATAGAGACAAGCTCTTTATATCAAACTTCTAGAAGTTACTAATAAAACAACTTAGAGCTAAACACAAGCTCTTAATAACAGCATACTTATAGATAAATGGATAAACGGAACAAATTAACTAGATTGTGGAATAATATCTTCAACACTATATTAACTAGTTGTAGGATAACTAGGTTAAACTACTACTATTAGTATAGTTTGCTTATAATAGTATAATGACTAGCACGACTCGATAGTTACCTTTCTTTATAGTCTATGGATATGAACCCTAGGCTTACTATAAAGCCTTACCTGATAACATAGTAGTAGAATTAGTAGAATAAAAAGTAATAAGAATCTAACAAATCTAAAAGGATGTTTAAGATGAACTTTCTTTTATATAAAACAGAATAATAAAATATGTAAACTAGAAAAAAATTAAGGGACTAATTCTTAAGAAGGGAGATAAAGTCTACCTTCTCTGATGAAATATTAAAACTAAGCACCCTAGTAACAAGCTTAATTATAAGAAAATTAGACTATTTAAAATTTTATAAAAACTTTCAAATACTAACTACGAACTCTTGTTACCTTAGGGAATAAGGTAATATCTAGTCTTTTATATCTTACTCTTAGAACTAGTACTATAGAATACTAAAATCAAAATATAGATTAAAACTATTGATGAATATAATAAGGAATACGAAGTAGAATAAATTATTAACTTATGATAATACTAAGGAATAATGGAATACCTTATTAAGTAGAAAGACTATGACCCTAGTAAGAACACGTGGGAGCTAATTGAAAACCTTACTAGTTATAAGTAGATCCTTTGATAGTACTAGGCCTAGGACCTGACTAGCTAAAAATAAAAATATACCTAGGCTATGAAAGACTTAAACTACTAGGAATCGAACCTAAGTCTCTAATCTTAATTGTTAGAATTCTAACTACTAAACTATGGAACCTTGTACCCTTAATAGTATGGAGTATACTAATAGGATAAACCTTGCCCTCCTTTATAAGTATAAGACTAAAAAGTATTATTTGTCTCAAGGCCTACTAGAGGGATGACTTAAAAGAGGGTAAAATCAAGAACTAGACAAGCTTCTCCTAGGCGTATCTCCTTTACTACTAGAAACAGGCATACTAAGGATCTCTGATAGATCCATACCTTCTTCTACTATAGAACTCTAGTCAAAAACACTAATATCTCTGCTAGTATGGAGCTATGACTCCTAGACCTCTATCCTACTAGAACTAGTTGAGCTACCATGAATAACTTTGGTAGATTGTATGGTAATATACTGGTATTTACCCTTAGCCTTCTTATTCTTTAGATGATCTAGCTCCTTAATTATATCCAAACCCTGCTAAATGGTGTTTGCTATCCGCTTTACCTATAAACAACGTTGCTTACGAAGGCGTTATACCTTTATATTTACTAGTATGGCCTCTTCCTTTATAGTATTAAGCTTGCTCTTGATTAAGGAATGTTGTTAAGAAATCTTTTACATCTAGGTAGGAGTAAGCCTATATATATTATAGTTTCCCTGCTTCCTAAGAATATACTTGATGTAGTGAGAAGAGTCCTCCTTAGAAGTGGTATAAATAACGCTGCTTACCTTGTAAGAAGAATAGGTTGGTATCTTAGAATAGCGAGATAAGGTAGTAAGGTAAAGGGTATAACTCTGCTTAGTCTTCTTACAAGGATGGGATGGTTTAGAAACCTGTAAATCCCTGACTTTGTAGGATATGATGAATTAGGAAGGCATAATTGTAAGGCCTGAAGACTTAAAAAGGAAAGGAATGGAACGAATCTTTGGGATAAGGGATATAAGAAGGGAGATAGTGTTATAAACTAGCGCGTTGGTGCTAGAGAAAACCCGTCTAAGCGACCCCTAATGATACCACGACGTTAGCCCGAGTAATGCTAGCTAGTAGAATTATAGGACGTGCTAGAATCAGGGTTAGGGTTAGGAACCCGGCTATAGGGGTGGACTGATAGGACCGTTAGTGGTCTAGGTAACTACGGGCTGGACTATAAATATCGAGAACGGTCTAGATGGTCCCATACCTAGGATGATGAAGAAGTTGGAATATATAAGGACATGGTCGTTACCACTGTAGATAGCTTTTATAGAATAGACTCTTTAGTCGTTAATCTAAGTATTTAGTCTAAATAACTAAATAGCCTTATAGCTAGTAATTATACCCGTAGAATCATCATGTTTTCTACTGAATAGTTAAGTACTACCCCTGTGCCGTACTGCTAACATAAACCCTACAGGTTACCTACTGAACCCTATAAAGGTTTGGTGTGATCATAACAGCAGTGACCCTCTGACTTGTAGTCTCAAATGTGAAACTTTCCCTTGTAGAAAATGCTAGCACAGCAGTTGTAATTGTGAGAAATGGTGTCCTGGGCGCTCTGTGCGCTGAAGGTCGTGGGTTCGAATCACCCAAAGAGCAGAAAAGTAGCTCTTTTTTGCAGTTTTTTCTGGGCTTTGCAGGCCCAAACCAGCACGTGTGCTGGTCCGCTAATCAGCCCTAAAGAGCGCTGTAGCGTACAGAAAGGTAGGCTTTTTAGGGCCTAATTCAATGGTCTTTTCAAGGGTACCGGCTGCTAGAGCCGGGCTTATAACCTCTGAAGGTTAGTGCCTTCAGCAGTGTGTGTGTGGCAGGGTTGCAGCAGGGTACCTGGAGGCGAGTTGGGACGATTGAGAGTGGTTTGGACAACTTTGTATTGAATTCAAGTGGGCTTCTGTCAGCCCTCCTCACAGTCCTTCTGACATTGTCTCACCCTTGGGCACGCGTGGGTTGGCTCTGGTGCGCAGATAGGGAGGCCGGAAAATTCGGCCCTTGGACCTACTATCTTTGACTTTAAATAACCAGCCAACCCTAACCCTGACAGTAACCAAACTAAATACAGATAAACTTTAGAAATCAGGCTATCTAATGAACTAAGTTATATGCTTTTTGGGTAAGAAATAAGGGGAATGTAGAGGTACGAAGTTAGGGTCTTAAAACAGCCTAAAACATTGACTCATGGCTACTAAACTCATCTGCCGGCGTGTATGCCTTATGGGCATATAGCCAAAAGTCTAGTGCCAAGTCTAGGGTAACTCCTTACGTGTATTTTAGGGTAACTCCTTACGTGAAGGGCCTACGCCGAATTTGAGCGTTTCCATTTAACAGTATATATTACAGTTTCTATGCTTAAGACAAATGTACTCTATATAGTATAAAGAATTCTTCTTAGAAGCAAGACAGGAAGACTTGCTAGTAAGACAGGTCGAGCAAGTCGGTATAATAGAAAAGCGACTCAAGGTAGTAGTGTAAAGGCTATAGCTTTGCTTAGTTTTTTTATAACAATAGAATAATTTTAAAACCCGAGAGTTTTTAACCTTACTAGATATAATAAATTAGGAAGGCGCAAATAGATATATAGATAATATATAGAAGCTTATAGAAGTATCTTTAGGGACAAAGGATATAAAAAGAAAGATAATATTATAAACCAGCATGTTGGTATTAGAGAAACCTGTTTAGATAACCCTGATAATCTATTGTTATGATATTAGCCTGACAGCATTAATTGGTAAGAATTATGGGATCTGCCAAGACTAGGGTTAGGATTAAAACTAAAGAACTAGGGTAGACTAATGGGACCGATAAGCAGTTCTATTAATATTAAGCCAAATGTCACGACCCTAACGGAAATAGGACTAATAGTTAGTTTTGCAAAGGAATAACCCCACTAGGCCAGCATATTGGCCAAACGAACGGTACAAGGGACTGAGTCAATGGTTACGTAATTACTGATTAGATAAGACGGATTGATTGGAGCGATAATTGATTCTAGCGATCTAATACTATGGAGCGATAGGAGCGACTAGCGTTTTTGACGCTTTCCTATACTAGATCGTTAGGAGCGATTAGCGTTTCCGGCAAGCTTTACTGAAGAGATGGATATATAAGGACATACTTATTACTAGATAGCTAGATAGTATGGACAGCTCTTTAGTAGTTAATCTAAGTATTTACCCTTAAATGGCTTTTATTAGCTTGTAATTATTGTTAGAAACCTTATTGCTTAATCTACTGCCTTGTTATGTATTTTAGATATAAACCTTGATCTATGGTTTAGAGGACCCAGGAAACCTTAATTATTATATTTTAACTGCTCTTGTTTATACGTTATGACGCGGACTTTGAGTAATATTATACGCGATATCTTTACAATGTCTGGGTTTGGAAACAACAATCTTTAGCAAAACCTTCTATAGGAATTAGACGACGCTATTAATAGCGATACCAGTAATAATACTAATAATAATGGCGGAATGACTAACGAATAACTCTAGGAGTTGGTTAGTAAGGTTAATTGCCTTTGTATCCTTATAAATGAACAGGCTAAATAGAATAAAGAAATAGAGAACCTTAAGAAGGAAGTTACCATTCTTTAGGCTGCCGCCGCTATTGTTAATATCTTAATTTCGACCAAGGAAAGTATTAGGCTTAATAGCCTGACTCCTTATAATGGGACCCCGGGCTAGTTATAATCTTACCTTACCTAAATTAGGGCCTACTAGTGTTTTAACTATATGGATAGTTAAGTGGATGGGAAGTAAATTATATACGCGGCTTTATTTCTTAAGGAAAGAGCGCTTGCTTAGTTTAAACTACACTTTACCGATTTTGTTAATGCTGAAAAATTTAAGAAATGCAAACAAGAAACTTAGGAAATATTTAGTAGATACGAAAACTATAAGAATGCCCTCTAAGCCTTATTTTAAGACCTCGACGAGGAATAACAAGCTAAAAGGGAATTGTTAAAACTATAATAGAAAGGCCTAGCCTTGGCCTATGTAGCAAAATTTTAATAAATCTGTGCCTGAGTTAATTTTATTTACGACACTAAGATCTTTATGTTCTACTAAGGACTAAAGGAAGATGTAAAGGACGAGTTAGCTAGGCACGATAGACCTAACGACTTTCTATAGTATGTTAAATTAGCTATTAAACTTGACAATAGGCTTTACGAGAGATGTTAGGAGAAATGTGGTATTAATTTTGGACCGTTCTAGCGGAGTAACTAGAAGAATAAGTCTAATATTGGAAAGAGATATAACTGTAATAATCTAACTTAATGGGGACAACAATTAGGCCCTATAGAGCTTAATGCCGTGTAACAGAAAGATAAGAGGGACATTAAATGCTATAACTGTAATAAGATGGGATACTTTGTAAAAGAATGCCACAGCTCTAAGAAAAATAGAGACTAGAAGCCTGTATCTGAAGGCTCTAGACAGGCTAACGTGATTACCTGTATCAGTGGGCCACTATGCTTAAAGATGTAATAAGCTATTACTAAATAATACTGCCAGTGTAGAATAGAATGGCATAAGCTGTGCCTAGTATACCTAGACTAGGCAGTAGAAGACGGAAGAATCTTATTTGGTATTATTCTTTAAAACTTACTTACTAATGATAAATAAGAAGGCAAGTTAAAAACAGGAGAAACAATTTAATAATAATTATTATAGCTGGTGTATATAGAATTAGACAAGGCTGAAGAAGCTAAGAAGTATTCCTTACTCAGCTAGACAGCCTGCTATAACGATAGCTGTATTATATATTTAAGCGACAAAGAAGGAATTAACTGGTTCCCCAAGGGTGTAGGATAATGGCATACCCTGGCTGTGGGAAGACAAAAGGAACTTTTATGCGACCTAAGGAAGGAGCTAGCAGGGAAAATTCCCTAAGATTTACTTGTACCTTGAGTATAGTAAGAGGACCTGTAGGCGTACTTAGGAAGAGTACCCCTACTGGCCTCTAGAACTAATATTATAGAAGTACTAATTATAGGACGACCCTTTAAGCAAGTAATGTAAGAACTAAGAAAGGAGGCCAAGAAGGATAGAGATATAGAGAGAATATTTCCTTGCTATAGTTACTATTCCAGT